GGGGGAGGGAAATGGGAGGCTGGGAGAACGCGGAAACTTTTTTTTTCTTATTCTCAATAAAAAAATATAAAAAAAATAAAAAAATTAGTGATTAGCGAACATCTGCTTTTTTACATAATTCTTTGTCTTACATACACTGCATTTTCTGGGTCCCTCGTTTCCCACATGATTTTCTCCACTAGTGTTTCAATAACTTTTATTTGGCAGTGAAGTGTTTCAAACTCCCTTTGCATTTCCTCCATTCTATAGCTACCTTTTTGTGGTTTCCATAGGAACATGCTCAAGTTGTATGGCTAATCCTGGAAGTGCAATTGTGGATGACGTATTGGAGTGTTCTCTTTGGGTCATGGGATGAAGAGCTAGACTCTTCATGGGGCCCTAGACAGTGAGCAAGACAATATCCATGTAATGATCTATACGCTTTACACTGTGATCTCAGTCTAACCAGAAAGGGGAAATAGAGTATACAAGACTCCTCTAATAGGTCTGTTTATGGCCAAGTTTGCCAGCAGTGTGTGTTATTATTTTCACAAGAGTTAAAGAAAATCCCTTACCAAATTTCAAGAAAATCTAAAAGAAATAGAGTTATGACAAAACATATAAACTGATGCATTATTTATATGTAATTATAAATATTCCTTTAGTATTATGTTTGTACACCAACTACGTATACCAAAGGATTAAAAAACACATTATTTGAACATGGTGGCATTGATCTATAATACAAGCTACTAGGAGACTGAAGCAGGAGAATTGCTTAAGCCAGTTCAAGGTATATAGCTAGACCCTGTCTGATAAAAAGGGTAATTTATTATAAATTTTTTTCTATGGTTCAATAGATATTCTTATTAGTATCTGAATAAAAAAGTTTTAGGTATTCTCTTTGTTGGCAGCTAAAGTCAGCCAGCCAATCAACCAGCCAGCCAGCCAGTCTGCCAGCCAGCCAAACAACCATTCAGCTAGCCAACTAGCCAACCAACCAGCCTAACAGCCAGCCAGCCAGCCAGTCAGTCAGCCAACCAACTAAGAAATCAACAAAACCCCAGTCAGACAGAACTGTTTGATTACATGTTTGAATTCTGTTTGATTAAATGTTCATAGGGCAGGCAGTCTTTGAAATCTGATTAGCCATCTCAAAACTTGCTATTTTATAAAATAGCAAGAGGATTTCTAAATCATTAAGGGTTCTCAGGTTTCTAATATTCTATATTGAATGTCTGTATTAATTCCCTGTGAAAAATTTGAAAATGTGCACAATTTATCAATTTCCAATAAAAATAAAAACACAATTGTTTTATTTTAATTGCCCTTTGAAAATAAAATGAAGGTTTTTGGAGACAGCACTGACTCTTAGCTTTGCAATACTCGACTTATTTCTAGGCTGGTCTGCATTTTGAACACACTTTAGATTTACAACTGACACCCTGAAAATGTAATGCTACAGACCCCAAATAAGAAAATTAATAAATCCTTTCCCCACTGAACACCACATAGCAGTACCCTTCTGAAACATCTGTCTTCAGCACGAGGTCATTGCTGAAAAAGAAGGCTCACCTGAAGAAGCACTTTGCTTTGCTTTGGCAAATCTGAAGGCATTAAGACTGACAAGGCTGGGGCGGGTGGCTAGCTACTGGTAGAGCACCTGCCTAGCACGAATGATGCTCCAGCTTCAGCCTTCAGCCTCATAAAAATGGTTAAAACACCAACATCTCTATTTATTAAAATATGTCCTGGTGGCTAAATATCAGTTTTTCACGAGACAGCATCATTAAAAAAGTCAAGGTTTGAATCATCTCGGGGTTTGATCATGCTGAAATCATGTGGGTCACATGGGCTTCTTTTTGCTATTTAGAAATGGATTAATGATAGTGACCCCTATGTTCAGGGACTTTGAGAACATGACCCATCAGGTTAGGATTTTTGACTTGGTTATGAATTAAACATTTTTATAGGATTGCTGAAGGCTGATAATTCTAGACATGTAATCATTTGATCAAGGTTTTTTTTTTAATTTTTGTCCAACATCAGAAGGTCAGGTTTACATTTTCAATCTATGATTCTTCGTTCTGTATGGACCTAAAATCATCTGAACCTTAGACCTCAGGTTTCATTTGTAATAACCAGAGGGGTGGATCAAGCTGAAAGCCTACTTGCTTTCCAAATGGAAACTGTGCAATGAAACAACCCCCCAGAGTGCTTTTCCTTTTTCTCTTCTCTCCCTTGGGTTTGAAAATTGAAGTCATAACATTAGCACCATACCACTGAGCATAATGTCTATGGAGACAAAAATGGAGTAGATTTGTTCTTGATTCAAAAGTGAGTGCTCCCTAATACAAGACGTTAGGACTTGGTGCTGTCTTAGCAACACCAAGCACAAGTTAGCCATGTGAGTATCTGCCTCCTCTCATATGACAAGAGTTGAAGTCTTTTCTCTCCCACCTCGATGACACATTATTTTTGCATATTAAATGAACCTTACACACAGCCAATCTCTTTTAGTTTACCCATCTCCCCTCCTTCCTCTGTTGCGCTGTGCTTTACAGAACTGAGTCGTTCCAGCTCATTCTGAGGATGTCAAGTCTAATAATTTTGAACTTGTGAGCCCGGTTGAAATGGATGTAAATGAACCAAACTTTCAATCAGATGTGATTGGAGCATGAAGTGCTATGGGTTCATTGTAATAGAAACTCCAAGAGTTTAAAAGGCTCAGAATATCTCAGACTAAAATATCTTGGGGTCTTTTTCCATTTTAAAGAGAATTGGATAATTCTGTGTGGTTGAGGACCGGCAGCATAATAGAAATCGAGAAATCTGCAGTTTCTCACCAGGTAACTACATTAGCAGCGAGCTCATAATACAGTTTGTTAGCTGAAAAAAGCATAAAGAGACTTCTGTTTTCCTACGAGGAGCTATATGCACACAGTTTTTTTTTTTTAGCTAATTATACTTAGCTACTGCTAAATTCAGTTATTGGAAAATGCTTTCTACCCTGTATCGCCTTCAGCAATAATGAGGAATCACATGCATGCTGATTATTTTATAATTGTTTATTAGCAGAGGCAAACATAATCAAAGCTGCCTTTAAAGGCAGCCTTCCTCTCAAGATGTACCTGCAGGACATGGTATTGTTGTCTATTAGAATCCTGAATATTTCTGCAAGGGTTTCCCTTATTTGACTAATGGTTGCATTCAATGATCTTTCATCGTTTTATGTTTTGCAGTGACAATCTTTCTGGATAACATATAGGGTAATGTGCATAGCATAAATATTATACACAGTTGTTACATCACAGAAACTGTATGCATATTCACGTATAAATTCACTATATTCATTTATAAAGATATATGAGTCACTTACCAGAATTAAGAGGCAACTTGAAGCTAATTTTGTGTGCTCAGGGATGGTAGAAAACACTGACAATATCAAGCAACCAAATACAAGGAGAAAACTGCAAAATAACAGAAAAGAGAAGTTTGATGAGAATCACGCAGATTCATCACAAAACAAATAAAGAACCAGATCCACTTGAACAGGAATGAGCTAAATAATTACTGAGCATTTTAAATACCAGAGTGCAGTACGATATTTACTATAAGAGGATTTTTTTTATAACTTTATCTACAAAGACAAGATTGTATGCACTGTGCTGTGTGTGTGTTGTGTGATGCTGTATTTAAGTGGTAATGTTCAGGAATCTGTAAATTTCCCACACAACTCCTCTCCTAAAAGGAACCCCAAGCAGGATTGAAGATTGGGTCTTGCTCTTTGTTCTGGGGATGTCTATTGCAGTCACTCTAAAAAGCAGAACTTTTGTACTTGTCAAGTCTGTAAATCATGAGGCATTGTACGCTATTATTGCTAAGCTGAGCACACACTGCCAGAGTCTGATAGTGCTTATGGACTCTGATTTGTAATTTCTTTATATTGATAGGAAGAGCAGGAGGGAGAAGGTAATTTTTCTCTGCCACCTGCTTACGTTGCTGTTCTTTGCAGCCAAATAACTAGAAGAAAGGACTTGAAGCTTTGGCTACTCACATTTTAATGGCAGGGATCAGAAGTAATGAGCAAGTACTTTCTATCAGTTACTTCAATGATGTTTCTAGGAATATGAAACTTCTAGGATCAAGGCAGGGCTATTGATTGGGGCCAAGCGCCCACAGAAAATCTCAAATAAAAGGGAAGTCTGTTCAAAGTTGAAGTTGAAAGGCAGGCTATCAAAATAAATCAGAACCCCAGTGAAGTGCTGTAGACTAGATCTCACCATTACTTGTGTCCAGAAAATTTATATAATAAGGTCTTCCCGATTTCAGAGGATTTAAACTTTACCTCCGCATAGCTTGTACCCAAAAGACTTACAAGTCCCTTTACCATCCTAGACTCACAGTGCCCTGATAATTATCAGGGATTGGCTAATTATGGACTGAGAAACAAGTCTGCCTTCTAATGCTTATTAAATTGTTGAAAATCTCATCTATGTGTATTTACATCATTTCCAACCTCACTTTCCCCCTTTAACACTTCCTGTGTTGGTACCAATTCCTCTCAAATCTATGACCTTTTGTTCTGTAAATGTATATGACATATATCATGTATATGTGTAAATACATAAAACCCACTGAACCCATTCATTGTTGCTCATATGCATATGTATTAGGGGCTGGATAACCTATCGGGGAGTTAGCCCCCAGAGAAAATTGACTTCCTCTTCATCAGCAGCCACTGACTGCCTATAGTTTTTTTCATGTGGCAGTTGGCCTCGTGAAACACTGGCATAGTGACTGTCATTGCCATTTTTCAGGTCTTGTTTAGGCAATCATGTTGTTGAGATCTAATGGGTACAGCATGCCTGTCACCATTCAGCACTATTCAGACACTACCCAGCAGCAGGTGTGCTGGTACTCTGGTTTATACATTCCTTCTTTTGAAAGTGTACACATTTCAGGAGAAGCTTTAGTGAGAAACGCACATGTGTTTCTCTGAAAAGAGAAGCACTTGTTTGGGACAGGTCAAAGCATTGTTAGAAGTGAAAGCAGTGTTGCTTTTCTGTGTACAAGTTTTACGTTGAAAGATAATAACGTTCTTTTGAAAGTGTACTAATTTCATGAGAGGCTTCAGTTCTGCTCTGTCTTCCACAATGGTCCCAGAGTCTTGGATACAGGGGTTGCATTGCAGATATACCACTAATGATTATTTTTATAAATAAAGTTTTATTGTCACTGGCATGTTGTGTATGCCAGCTTTCATATTAAAAGTGTAAAACAAAGTAGTTATAACAGTCAGAATGGACTGCAAGTGTTGTGGGATATTTGTGTGAAGATGTATTGCTGTAATAAAAAGCTGAAGAGCCAGTAGCTGGACAGGGAGTATAGGCAGAATTTCCAGGGGGAGAAAGAAGGAGGAGGAATCTAGGCATGTGGGAGAAGATAGAAGACATGGAAAGGAAACGGGAGGTGCAAGATGGGAGATAGGTAACATCATGTGATACAATGTAGATTGATATAAATGGATGTAAGTTATAAGAGCTAGTTAGGAACAATCCTAAGCTATAGGCCGAGCTTTCACAATTAATAAGAAGTCTCCATGTCATTATTTGGGAACTGGCTGGCAGGACAGAAAAAGACTCAATACATGCAAGAATGAAATATTTGCTACCTGGCTCCTTAGAGAATGTTTCCTGACTTGTGATTGAAAATTGTCCTTATTGTGGTGGAATGAAAACCTTGAAACTGTGGGAAAGACAAATGTCTCCCTTAAAGTCCTTTATGCCAGGCATTCTGTCACAGTAGTAAGAAAGCTGAGTAATGCAACTGCCTTCTTTTCTAATATTTGGTAGCTTCTGTGCCAGCGTTCTGTCATCATTGCAGATACCTAGTTTAAGGCTACAAGCAAAATACCTGCATTGCTCTAGCTGCCCAAGGCTAGGATGGACAAGTGCATTCATTGTTTCACTCCTTCTTTTTGCCTTTACTACTTTTAATTATTTATCCAACCAGCAAATATTGAGTATGTAGTGATAGGTAGAGTCATGGGGATATCACAATAAACAAGGTAAATTCTTTTAACCATTTTTCCCCATGTAGGTTTATTGAGGTGCCCAAAACAGTAAACAGAAGTAAACATGATTAAATCTATGAGCACTAACTGCAGTGGTAGGAAAATATAAATACATAGCATCACAATGGAGAAGAAGGTTTAGGCAGCATGGATTGCTCAATTTGTGACTTCCTTTGCAAAATGAAGATGAGGGGCTAGTTGTTTACAATTATTTCAAATTTCACGATGAAGATAAGCAAGCATGGACTACAGGTGGACACTATTTTAATTGTGGGTCTTCATGAGAACACAGAGGTTGCATGTCTGTGGGACTGAACCTGGGGCAAAAGGAGAGTTTCTGGAGAAGATACTGACCAAACAGTCCTGAAGGTATAAATGGAGCTAGTGAGCAGAATGGCTGGGGAGAAGGAATACCCTAGTGCACGGAACTGTATGAAGCAAGGTGAGATACAAGCATGTGCTTAGATGTCACTAATTCATCAGTAATGGGGAGATAGTGAACACTTGCAGGCTCAGTCATCTGGTATTGGAAAAGAGTCAGTAGGGGCAATCCCATAAATCTGTTATTTCAGTTCAGCAGAAAATAAATATTGAATATTTTGATTATTTGGAAACACATCATGCCAAGAGTGCCATGTTCCCTGATCAACTGAGGAGTGTCTACCTATAGGAATTTGTACACACAGGGAAGTGGACAAGGTGTGCACGCAGATGGTAATGAAAGGCAGTAGAGGACACGCACTTTAATGTCTTCAGGGGATGGTGGAGGGTTCAGCATGGTACATTTACTAGAGAAACACATCCCAGAAGGAAGTGCAAGAGAAGGCTGCAAGCTAGGAGAGTAGGATTCCTGGGGAGAGCCTCTATTTAGTTCAGTAGCTACTGAATGTTAAAGGCAGTCCTGGTGTCTTTTGAGTTTCTGGTAAAGTTTACCTTGACTTTGCCCTGCTCCAGACTCAATCCTGTACTTAGACCCAGTCTGTGCTACAACTCCATTAATTTTTGTTTCATAAAACAGAGAACAAATATTTTTGCTCCAGTGCATCTTGTTGCAAATTGAATAAAAGCAAGTTGAAAAAAAGGTGGGTCACTGTCTGTTTGAGTGTCTTTGTTTAGGTCCACAGGTTTCCAAGGAATTTATGCATAGGACTTAGTGTAGCATAACCATGGAGGCTGACTTTAGTTTTCACTATGATGGGATCAGCAGTCCTCTTCATGACTTTGTTACTTAAAAAATACAGATATCTTCAAATCATATTTTATATCAGAGATAAAAACCATAATTGTTTCATCTTGAATAGTGATTTCTAATAATTATTTTACAATTATGGCATTTATTAGACCCTGGGTAGGGACCATTTTAATGCATTAATAATAAAGGATATACTTTGTCATATCATAAGCATGTTTGATACTTCAGTCCTCATATTTCAACATAATTTTATCTTTTGTAATTATGTGTATTTTATGCATTTAAGAACATTCTGATAAAGGGCTTATAGCCTTCATTAGTCTACTGATATTATCTATGATATACCCATACAGAGGATTAAAATCCTTATGATGAAGGGTTAGGAAGATAGGACCATGAACTGGAAGATGGCCTTATTCAGTAGTCACCAACAACTTGCCAAGGTAACTTCAATGATCAGCTTAAAGCTACCACGGGAAGAACATATTCCTCCAAAAATTATTCTATAACAGCTTTCGGCTTTTATTTTACATGGTGTTTCTATTTTTTCAGATAAAACTCATGCTTATCCAAATTTTTTATGCCATGCTTCCTTTTGGAAAGCACTGATTATTTAAGATGAGAAGAGCATTTATGAGAAAGTAAATATTATCGGTTTCAGGGCTTCTCTGTTTAGCTAAGAAAAGTGCCATCAACTTTTTTCTTTTAGTTAATTAAGAATCCATTTCTGAGATTTAATTTAGCAAGAAGGTTGAGCTAAGAAACACAGGTTCTTGTTTGAACAAATGATGTCCTGATTCCAAAGCTTGTACTTTCAGAACAGGTGCACTTAGCTAGAATTAAAATGACATGCAAATAAAGCACTCAGAAAAGCTCAGCTGACACTTTTCCAGAGGAACCTCAGCAGGTTACATTATTGTCATTCACACACACACACACAAACACACACACAAACACACACACGCACGCACGCACGCATGCACACACACATACATGCACACACCCCTAGTCATTCATAAACAACGAAGAATGATTCAATACACAAACAAGACACAGAGCTTATATCTCACGTTGGCATTTCATGCAGCTTCAGCAGGTACAAGCAGGCTTTGTCAATCTACCAGAAGGTACTCTTCCGTAAATATTTTGGTGGACTCTTAGCTTTGCTGAGAAATATTTGGAGGAATCATTTATAAAATAAA